TCACCTTTCCTTTTGGATAAAAGAAAAGTCGGTGGCGACTCTTGCTAACCGCAACATTTGCGATAAAATGCAAAACCTCAAGTCAGTTCTCCCACCGTATCACAATACACATGAGTTTAAAATGTTGATGTGGATAAAAAATTATGATGTTTGACTGTAAATTGGCCATGGTTGACTTTTTCCCCAATACAGCTGATTTTTAGGTCAATTGCTCAATTGACTGAGCTAAAGTGTGATCCAAAGCTTAAAACTTGACATGAGTAATCTTGAGGGTCCATAATGATCCATGAAAACCATATGGGGCATTGGAAGTTAAAATATCCTTGTGCCATCTCAAACCCTAATTTTGGTCATCAGTGCTTAAGGAGGTATCTTGAGCTGATCAACCCTAGTGCAGTCTTGAGCCAAAGGAGATCTTGTGAGAAAAGTATTGATAAGTGAGAGGGTAAATTTGGGGTACAACAATAACCACTACAAAACCATACCCAAACAGTACTCATCCGAACTGGATAAAAGCCATAAGAGCTATGTTAGAGGAAAACCTAACACAATATGAAAGGAGTGAAGAAATGATCTCCTTAAATAATTTAGTTGTTCCTTAGGGATTAACGATCCTTGTCTGTGTCAATGGTCTTGGTCAAAGATAATGCTATTCGAGGAAGATAACTGCACTAAAATGAATGTGCGCCATTCAAAATAATTTTGAATGACTTTATTGAATCTAGACTAATTCTCCTACGCATGCCTATTCAAAAACATGTGACATCTTCCCTCTTAACATATACTTGATTACACCGTCCACAATACTCCCTTGTTTGAATCGGAATAAACAAGTCCTTAACAATATCCTGACATCTAGTCAGATATTGTCTAGTTTTCCATTAACAGGAATTAAAACATCTTCATCCAATAGAGATGGATGTTTCACAAAGTTGTCCAATACCCAAATACAGCCGCATATCACAATGCCTTCTATTGGATGTTAAGAACCTCCTTTTAGGTAGAAGTAGTGACATCTCCCAAGACATCTATTGAGTCCCACTTAAATCTCTAGTACCCCTATGTCACAACATATTGTCTGACATCATAACTTTATAAGGGGTATATAATCTCCACAAGCTTGAGCAACACGCAAGGTTCATAAGGTCTGCACCATTGCAACAACAATTCAATAACAAGTACTTAACTCCCCCTGTTAAGAATAAACATTACTCCTGATGAAAATGAGCACTTGAGCATCAGATGAAATCTCATGGAGTACTTCACACACTGTAAAACAAATCCTGATCCAGATACTTCAGTTCCTTGAGAGAAAACCTTGATATACTCACTTAACAAGGACATTTCTGATAAATGGCCTCACACACATTGTCATGTCTTTGTGGATGGGCATAATGTCATGCATACTTGGTTTGACATTACTCACATACTCCAAAAATTATTTGTTTGTTTGCTTCACAGGATCCAGACTGACACAATCTCTTCTAGAGTTACTTGTAACAGAAAAGGAAAAAACACCTCCTCAAAAGTATTCTGAAAAGATTATACTATTTGACATTATTCCTCTGCCATTACTAGCAATTGTTGAAGAGTAGTCATGCATTTACCAAACATAATACTCTAGACAAGATCAGAATCTTCACATTCTAATTCACATGGTTATACCTTCCTCTTCTGACAATAATGTTGAGTATCAAACTCCACATTCATAATCCTAAGCATCTTCCAAAGACAACCATCAACAAGCATGATGTTACAGTATCATTTAGGACATCAACTCCTTGTTAAAGACACCAACCAAAGGGCTTATTATGTTTAGAAGTCCTTTAACACATGAATATATATATATAGAGAGCACAACTTTAGTAGCTAATACACACCAGAGTACCATGAAGAGAAATAAAATATCATATACTTTCTGAAATATAGTGTTCAGACTGCAAACTTGCATTAACACATCAGGCAAATACACCACTCCCGTAAAAGTATTTGCCATCAGGAACATGCACACCTTCATCAGAGGAACATTTCCTTACGTTCCTTCCTGCACAATTTCACTTAGAGGTACAATCAGCTGATAAGACTACCTCCTCACAAATGGTAGAGCATTTGGTCTTATATCCTTCTTCTGCACACTAGCACATATGGATTCAAACAATAACGACTGATATTCACTCCCCACTGTAATACCCAAAATTTGTCCCACCCTTTCACTTCTACCTAGCTTATGTGTTATACATCCCATTTTCACCATTGTATATACACTCTATTAGGTAATTTAACAACATCACACATTCATTAACCACAAAATTTGGCATGGGTCTAACCTCTGTCTTGTATTAGCGTCATGCCATGTTACCAATCTAATCTCCATCTTATGTTAGCCTTTGTTGCTACGTTATAAGTCCAATCTCCATCTTCTCACCAAAAAACAAAAAAAAATCTTTCCCCAACAGATATCACAAAAATAAATAAACATTCACACTTTCTCTTAGAACAAATTTTTGGCATTGATATTTGATCATCTTCTACCTTGAACGTTTGAAATGCTCCCGCCAATCACACTTTCAGGTTTATGGCGATTAAATAGGGGCAGTTGTAATACCCCAAATTTGTCCTGCCCTTTCACTTCTACCTGGCTTATGCATTATGCATCCCATTCTCACCATTGTATATACCCTCCATTAGGTCATTTAACAACATCATGCATTCATTAACCACAAATTTTGGCATGGGACCAAGGACACTGATGGATTAAGGTTTCTTTGTGCTTTTAGGCTCTCACCTTCATTCAAGCTTTAATCAACATGTTTCATCAATAGTCAAGGTTTGAAGCTAGGGTTTTGTGTTCATAGCTATTGTGGATTTCTACCTTATCAATCTACAAGGTTTTTCCATCCAAATTCATCTAGGCCAAAGATTAGGGTTTCAAATGAGTTCGCTTACATCAGGGTTTTGTTTCTCCATCATCATGAGGTCTTCTCTTCATCATCAAGGGTTTTTAACAAGTTCATCATCTTATTGTGCCTAGGAGTTGAGGTTTATTTCCTTAATTTTGCAGCATTCAAGAGGGTTTCAATTATTGTGTAAAATGCAGGTTTTTGAAGGAATCTTAAGGTATTCATGACACACTAAGGTTTTGATTCTAGGGTGCATCACCATGCCATACAACAAGGATATCTTTTGATAAGATTTTGACCATTACAAGTTAGGGTTTTCAATTGACCTTCTTCCATTAAGAGAAGCTTAAATTATTATTTGAATTACATGACGTAAAAGTCAAGATAAAGTTGCCTGGGATGTTTGGCCTTTTCCATAAGGTTCAAGTTTCATCACATGATCATTTTTTAACTTCACATCATAAAGCCAATTAAAACAAAGTTTCATAGAAAAAATAAATACTTCATTCAAAAACATTCAAAGTTACTTGTTCATTACAAGGGCAAAGTACGAAGCTATTAAAAGATTCAAATGCAACATCATTCCAAAGTCATTCTTTACATTGACATTACAAGTACATTGAATCAAGGTTCATTATAAACCATAACAAAACCATCATTACTATGTTTCATACAAGTCCATAAAGACATGTTTTCGTTACAAAACATCATTGTAAATCTCATGTTACAAATTTCTAAAACATTACATCATACAAAAGTAATACACAAATGAGTCAGAGTCCATGAATCAATTTCTAAGCCTGAACTCCATGCCCAAACCTCTCATGCCATCATCTCTATTTTCCTTGAATTGATACAAACTTATGCTCTTTCAAACCATCATCACCAATAATTCACTTGCATATCATAAAACCAACATAAATATGTCCTCAAGCTTTCATGTGTCCAAATCCAAACAATTGAACCAACCTTGTTACATTGCTCTCTAATTACATACCAGACCAACTTATACATGTGAGAAAAAAACCAATTCATTTTATTACAAGTTGAACCAAAAAAAGAACCACCCTGCTTAATCAAGAAAACCGAACCAGTCCATATGCATCTGACCTATCCATACTTATCAGAACCAGCTCTGAACCATATTCACAAAACCAATCCAAAACTGATGTAAAGTCGATTGTATAATAAAATAAAATCAGAAGAAACGTGATTAGAGGAAAACCGTGAGGAAAAATTAGAAACTACTTGAATCAATAATTAAAATAAACGAGGAGAAGGAAAATCAAAAATCATGTAAAGCAAAAACTCAGAAGATCAGAATTCTCAAACTAACCTCATAATTATTTCAATCCTCGTCATCCATTTTCCAACTGATTTTTTGATCCGAAGGCCAAGATAGCTTCAACTGTAACAAACTTTTTCTTCTATATAACAAACTTTCTCTTTCAATCTCATTCATTCTTCAATCATTGGAGAATCACCAACAAACACCAAAAAAAATCTCCACAAAATTCTCTATTATCTCTCTGCACACGATTCTTCAGCATCACCATAATTCAATCTTTATCAGCTTCATCTTCAATCATCTTCCAAACCTGCATCAATCTTCAATCCTCCATTGAACAATCATCAACAAACATCAACATCATCTTCAATCTTCATCACTTTCTACATGCAAGTTCTCAACAACATTCATTCTATGTAAATCTCTTCAGCAACACCATCATGGTTTCAATCAAAATCAACAACACGACTCCATCATCCCATCTTCAATCGACAATATCTTCAAACACGAAAATGAACATTGAAGTTCACACATCAAGAACTATAGTAAAGGAAAGAAGTAGAACATCGTGATAGAGTAGAGGAGGAAGAAGATTAAAGTGAATAATTAACCTTCAGTCCTCTTGCAAACGTCGTTATTGAAATGCCGTTGGAGCGACTCCTACTGGTAAGTCGAATTTCTTCAATCCTTCATTGTTTTGTGTATTCCTTATGTCGTGATGTAGCGAGAATGTTCGTGAACTATAACTCCCAAAAATTTCTTCTTGAATCACTGACACATGGAGTATGTTAGGTTTTCTACTCACGGTGAATTTAGAGAGATAAGTTTGAGCTTGTTAAAAATAAATGAAGTTTGAGGAGCTGAATAGCGAAAACAAGGTAGAAGAAATGGAATGGATAATGGCCGCAGCGGCAGGGTTCTCCAGAAGGTGGCTTGGCACCGTTGAAATCAAAGAAGAGATAGGAGAAATCATATTTTGTGTGTAGAAGATGAAAAGTCACAGTGTGAACCCTAGAGAGCCTCAAACACATCGTTTTGTGTCCTTTGCATTTGATTTTGTTTTCATTATAAATTAATAAGAGCAATAAAAAAACTAAATGATGGATAATATGTTGGATTGTTGTGTGGATCCCTGGGCTTCATTGATGCACTTCACCTCAAGCCCGATATCTTTTTCTTGGATGCAGAAGCCAAACATAAATTCATGATGGACCTTTCACTGGGCCTTGCGCCCATACAACATTGTAGATGCCTGATTTCATTTGCACCCCCCCTCAGTTTCTCTACTATTTTAATTTTATTTTCCATTTTAATTGTTGTAGTTTCAATTTCTCTTCATGACTTTTAATGATAAAAATGATACAAAAATATTAGAACAATTTAGAATTCTTTAGGAACTCTCTTTATAATTTTCATTAGAGTTTTCTATTATTTTCATGTTTGATAATCATCTTCGTTGTCATTTTTAGCGAATATTTTGCGATAGAATGTTGATGCAACTTTCGCAATGTGGAATGCTTGGAGACTAATTCGTTCGATCGCTTAGGCGAAATAGCTTCAGCATATTTTTCTCTTTGCTTGCATGGTTTTCAAGAGGCAACAGACCTTATCCGTTAAGTATCATCGTGACTTTATTTTATTCCTCATTTCCAAACTTTATCGTATTTCTTTACCGCTTTTCTAGAGATCATGAGAAGTAGGGCTTTACTACTTTCCTTGCCATTAGAAGTGGGGTAGAGATGTACGATGGGGGTCTCCATTACTGATCATGTTAGGAACCCCTCTGGTTTATTCAAAGACCCATTTAGGGCAATTCCACATTGTTTGCCATTGTGTACTACTTGTGTGTGGTTTATTTAGAACCCTACCTTTGTGTAGGTATTTTGCACGTGTGTTTACATTTGTGTCTGTATTATTCCCCCATCCCTTATTGAAGTCCTCAAAAGGAGGAGAGAAGAAAAGGGTTAGCAATAAACCCCCACAATTTCGTCCATGTCATCCTTAGCTAGTGACGCGCCATGATGCTTCGGAGTTGTTCCTACTCTTGTTATCGAGTGATCAAGTGGAAAAGGGTTTTGCAATTGAACCATCACACTTTGCCAGGAGTTCGCATTGGTCAATGTTGATACTCCATGATTGTTCATATTGCCTTATGTCACCTACCTCGATCTTTTATATCTTGGTTAGATGTTCAGTCACTTTGGACATCACATTTTTGTTTTACATCCTATTCCCGCTTGTTTGCTTCGGGTGATCCACTCCCTTTAGCTAAATAATTTATCTTCTTTTATATTTCACTCCCTCTTGTTTGTCTCAGGTGATATGCTCCCCTTGACTAAAGCATTTCACTTCTTTTCTTTACCTTTTTATGTGTATGGTATTTCGAGCTTGTTTGTTCATTTGCTTTCTATATCATGTTCCCTTAGGATATGCTTGTTCCTTTAGGATGCAAGTTAGACCTTAGGTTGAAAACCTTGCATGCTAACGTTAGGTAGACATTTTCCTTTTGTTAATCCAAATCTTAGGACTGCCATTGTATGATAACATTAGGATTAGAAATATGCTAGTCTCCCATAGATTCTTTTCTTCCCCTTATTGCATATGCATTAAAACTAAAACTTTTTCTTGGCAAATCATAAAACATGATAATTACACTTAAACCTTTTTTCAAGGTAACAAAATACAAACTAATCAAATGTGGCATCTTTCCTTGAGGGCGTAACTCAAAACCATTTTCAGGTAAGGACATGTTAATTTACTTCTGTGCCAATGCGTAAGTCTCCAAAGGTCGAGTTGCGGCAGAAGGCGGAATTAACATTGTTCATAAAAAACACATAACAAACAAAACATATGAGCCGAACTACGGTAACTCTGATTCCTTAAAAAGGATATGTAGGCATTAGGGTAGGGCCCAAGCGAGCACAACTTTATTTTCCCTATATTATTTTCTAATTTCTTTCACATGCATTCTTCCTCAGTAGTATAATAAGCATAGATTAAACACACCCATAAGATAGACAACAAGAGTGGATACCATAGAGTACTACGGGGGTGTGGGGTTCTAATACCTTCCCCTCGTGTAATAGACTCGCTTACCCGATCTCTCAGTCGCAAGACCGTGACTTCTCCTTTCGCAGGTTTTCTCGATGGTTACCTTTCCCTTCATGTTGGATAAAAGATGTTAGATGGCGACTTTATTGTCTGATGATTTTTAGCCGGTTGTTTCAGCTGAAGAATTCACTGGGGATAGATTGACCAATCACTGGTCCATCCTGGAGTCGCTCCTAGCTCTTGTTTTCTTTTCTTTGGGTGTTTATTTTTATACTTTCAGTTTATTCATCCATACATGATTACCTGAGGATATGTATGCATTGTATTTTATTGCTTTCCATATTGGTTATCTGATGTGCTGGCTTCTGTTTTCCATGTTGGGTGGGTTTTACTATAAGGTAAAAGGCCCAATACCCAGGCCAGAGTTGTATGCCACTAGGAAAACTAGGAATAAAGTGGAGAGTCATTATGCACGATAGGCGTATGCCCAGTCACCATCCGATCATGAAGCCACGATCAGTTGAGGTTCAAGTGAGGTATCGTCAGCATCACAAATATGCATGATGATGATACTTTCAGGTGACCTATGATTCTAATTATGCATGACCTTACCTTGATCTAGTTTACACCCGTGAGTGGGGAGAGGATAATATTTACAGGTACCGTTGGTGACTATGTTCAGAGAGTGACCATATGTTATGTTGGTGACTATGGGATTCTCGGATTTATTTTGAGTTCTTGACTTTTTTATTTGGAGGTTCATTTGGGCCTTCAATCTTGATATTCCCAACATATTTATAAAAGGCTCAGCAATATCCGGTGTTCCAGAATCCTTGATCCCGTACAATTGATGATCTACATGGTACTTGGTTCTTGTATGTGCGGAAGCTATGCCGGACCTCTGATCCGGTGATATTGATATGGTTCAGAATAGTGCAACAATCATATTCAGAAACGATGGAACTTTGATCATATGTCTTTGCATACATAACATGGTTAACTACATTCTTAACATACATGTTCTGTTATTTCCAGAGAATCATATTTGTAAGTCTTGTGCTGAGCTTTTCCATCCCTTACATGCGTAAAATCAAAATCGAAACATGTAAATTCCTTGGAAATGACAGAACATGACATGGCATCCATTCATACACCCCATGCACATTCATGCATTCATAACAGATACTCAGAGTTGGGGAATCTTATTCAGACCTGGTGTTCTCCTCAGAGGTTCAGACTTAAATTCTTGTTGTACGTGCTCATAGGTCAGTCTGGGATAACTCCGTGGAGGATTGACTGATACGAAGATCCCGATGGGGTTTGATTATGGTATACATGCAAGCTTTGGCCCGTGGTTGGAAATTCTTCGGGAAGGAAGATAACCGATTGAAGACTCAGGTGAGCCGGGTCATGGGATTGCTTTCAACCATGGAATGCTACACAATCTTGAGTTCTTGGAACATCTTATTAGCAAATGGTTCCCATTTACTATGTGAATTCAAGAAACTTGTTTTACCAGTGATATTAGAATACGCCTGAAGAGAAGTTGATCTTATATCAATGCTTCATTCTCATTGGTTTCCACACTTGTTTGAGCTTCAGTGGGTTAGACCCCGTACTTTGGTGCCGTCTATAAATTTCCTCCCATATCGTGATACCAACGTCAGATGTGGTTACTACTACACTGGGGAATCCAGCTATTCAATCAGGAACACTCTCCACGGATTTCCGTTCCCTAATTTGTTCGACAGCAGCCAGTCTTTGTTCCCCAAGTGAATTCATGGGGAAAAGCTTCTAAGCAAAGACAGAAGAAGCCTGATGAGCATATTTATGCGATCCCAGTTCATTACATCCAGTTATTTACTCACCTGTTGGAAATTCAATTGGTAAAGCTCTGATCTTTGGGGTCCTCCTCCCACAAACATCTCTTCTGATTGCGATACACGTGCTAGATGTGTCCCCTGTTATGGGGCACCCGACTTTGATATTGAAGACTGTAAATAGGTTAAAGTATAAAGCTCAGCACCTATCTGGTGTCTCTTCCAAAAGTCCAATTCCTATTTGGCCAACTTCCAGACTCTTTCCCACCAGCTGGATGTCTCTTATATTGTGATAGAAGGAGAATTGTATTGTTTCCTTATGGCATAAGACGCTTGGTGATGTAGTTCATACTAATTCGCTTGGTAAAGCATTCATTCGTTCTCCTGAAAGAACCTTCTATGCATATTATTCTGGGGCACCTAGTCATTCGATCGAAGATGGTATGTTATCCAGAGACAAGGTCCAAGACTGGATCAATTCAGAGACTGTTGTGTTCACATCAGATTGGAAGGAGAATTCTCTCGGCCATTTAAGCATCAAGAATGCAGAAAGTCGTCAGAATAAAGAAGTCCATACTGAGTCAAGTCTCCTCAACTGTGGCAATCATTGGTTTCTCTACCTCATTTTCATTTGCAATCTTGCTTGTTTGTTTAAACATTGATTGCATGTAGAAATCTGTCTATTTTTGAATAAAAATCTTAATGCAATAAGTATGCTTGTCTTGAAGTGTTTCTTTTGTTTTTATTCATCCATTCGTTATCAATATTTAAATGTTTTACTTACATATTGATGCCAGGTTTCCAAGTCTTATGCTTAGAAAAATATTGGAGGGAGGATGACGATAATCTAAAAACACAAAAATCCCCAGTTGGTATGCTTTTTAGTAAGACCCTGCTGACGATGTACAGGCCATGTTTCAATTCCTAAACACCGGATATATAAGGGAGATAACCCTCGTTAACCCCCTATTAGCCTTTGAAATAGAAGTTTCTTTTCTGTTCAGAAAAAACCCTCATTTTAACCCTGGGGAGGGTAGTGTTCAGTTAATCTGATCAAACATTCATAACTCATCGAGCGTGAGCATCTAAGGACACAACAATGGTTATCCTCCAAAGGGTTGATGAAAGTCAAAACCACGATGGCTAACTTCACTTATCAT